TAGATCTTGAAGTGGAGCAGTTGGATGTGAAAACTGCATTTCTTCATGGAGATTTGAAAGAGGAGATTTATATGGAGCAGCCAAAAGGATTTGAAGTACCTGGAAAGAAACACATGATGTGCAAATTGAATAAGAGTCTTTATGGATTAAAGCAGGCACCAAGGTAGTGGTACATGAAGTTTGACTCATTCATGAAAAGTCAAACATACCTAAAGACCTATTCTGATCCATGTGTATACTTCAAAAGATTTTCTGAGAATAACTTTATTATATTATTGTTGTATATGGATGACATGTTAATTGTAGGAAAAGACAAGGGGCTGATCGCAAAGTTGAAGAGAGATTTGTCCAAGTCATTTGATATGAAGGACTTGGGCGCATCACAACAAATTTTAGGGATGAAGATAGTTCGAGAGAGAACAAGTAGAAAGTTGTGGCTATCTCACGAGAAGTGCATTGAACGTGTACTAGAACGCTTCAACATGAAGAATGCTAAGCCAGTCAGCACACCTCTTGCTGGTCATCTAAAGTTGAGTAAGAAGATGTGTCCTACAACAGTGGAGGAGAAAGAGAACATGGCTAAAGTTCCTTATTCTTCAGCAGTCGGAAGCTTGATGTATGCAATGGTATGTACTAGACCTGATATTGCTCACGCAGTTGGTGTTGTCAGCAGGTTTCTTGAAAATCCTGGAAAGGAACATTGGGAAGCAGTCAAGTGGATACTCAGGTACCTAAGAGGTACCACAGGAGATTATCCGTGCTTTGGAGTATCGCATCCAATTTTGAAGGGTTATACAGATGCTGATATGGCAGGTGACATTGATAATAGAAAATCCACTACTGGATATTTGTTTACATTTTTAGGGGGAGCTATATCATGGCAGTCGAGGTTGCAGAATTGTGTCGCACTCTCTACAACTGAAGCAGAGTATATTACCACTACTGAAACTGGCAAAGAGATGGTATGGCTCAAACAGTTCCTTCAAGAGCTTGGATTGCATCAGAAGGAGTATGTCGTCTATTGTGACAGTCAAAGTGCAATAGACCTTAGCAAGAACTCTATGTACCATGCAAGGACCAAACACATTGATGTGAGATATCATTGGATTCGAGAANGGATAGAGGATGGGTCTACGCAGGTAAAGAAGATCCATACAAGTGAGAATCCCTCGGATATGCTGACCAAAGTGGTACCAAGAGACAAGTTTGAGCTATGCAAAGAACTTGTCGGTATACACTCAAACTAGAACCTCCGGTGTTACCTCATTCAGGTGAATGAGACTGGAGGAGGAGGTTTGTAGGGTCCATCCCATAAATGAAGGAAGAAAACTTTCTTCCTTGATTAGCAGCAGCCCACGTTTCTTTCTTTTGCATTTATCAAATTCGGTAGGCGTGCAGAAGGCATTGTCAAATGTAGTAGGCGAGGCTCTGCCTATAAAATGAGAGCTTCGGCTATCATTTTATACACCAATCTTAGAGAAAAAATATATCTGAGAGTTAGAAAGAAAGAGTGAGGTTTCACAAACAGGGTATAAGAAAATAGTCTGTGAGAAAAATAGAGAGTGAGTGATATTGTAGTAAGGTGAGAATATCAAAAGAGGGTTATTTCTTTTGAATGTTGTAGTGGTCTTTTGAGTATTTTACTCGGACCTACAAAGTGTAAAATTCCTTGCTATAGTGATATAAGTTGTTCTTCTCAGGGCCGTGGTTTTTTCCCTTATTCAAAAGGGTTTTTCACGTAAAAATCATGGTGTCGTTGTTACTCTTTTATTCTTGTTAATTACCGTATCTCGGTGCTACATTCTTATTCCACTTTTATTACCGTGAATATTATTTTTGTAGGGGTTTTATTCCCAACAAAGAAACCAAAGATGTTAATTTGTAAGGCAATTGAGATTGAGCATAGTGAAAAGGCTCGTGACATGGCGGCTCAATCAGGAGTTAGTGACTTGTCAGAGTTCGATACAGCGATTGAGAAAGTGAAGAAAGAACTTAATGGCATGTTTGGTGGGGACCAGTTATCAATTGTACGCGGGCAAGGTGGTGATGGATTGCGATTTAACAACCAAGGCTGTGGGAGCAGCTTTTGTAAGTCGGAGGACACGGGGATGAAAGCGTTTACTAAGGATTTGAGAACACATTTCAAAGGCCTAGATGATATTTACGTGTGGCACGCATTGTGTGGTGCTTGGGGCGGTGTAAGGCCTGGAACCGCGCACCTGAATTCCAAGATAATCCCTTGTAAACTTTCTCCAGGGGTTGACGGGACGATGGATGATCTTGCAGTGGTCAAAATAGTGGAAGATGGCATTGGACTAGTTCATCCTGATCAAGCTGATGATTTTTATGATTCAATGCATTCTTACCTTTCTAATGTGAGAATTACAGGCGTTAAAGTCGATGTTATTCATGTATGTTCTTCCAATATTCTGCAGTTACAATTTAGTTTTATAGCAAGTGGTTTATTGCCTTCATTTGATTTTACAAGCAATTTTTAATTGGTACGTTTTCATGCAGACACTTGAATATATCAGTGAGGAATATGGTGGTCGAGTTGAGCTTGCAAAGAAATATTACAATGGGCCATCAAAATCCCTGGCAAAGAATTTCAATGGTACTGGACTAATTTCCAACATGCAACAATGTAATGACTTCTTCCTCTTAGGAACAAAGCAAATCTCAATGGGAAGAGTTGGTAAGATTTTCTTACTATCCTTTTCTTAGTCAGAACATATGTAAGCTAATATTTGTGGTGGTTAATAAAAATTATTACAGGGGATGATTTTTGGTTCCAAGATCCAAATGGTGATCCGAACGGAGTATAATGGTTACAAGGGGTACATATGATTCATTGTGCTTATAACAGTATATGGATGGGTCAGATAATACAACCAGATTGGGCCATGTTTCAGTCTGATCATGTTTGTGCTAAATTTCATGCTGGATCCAGGGCTATAGGTGGAGGACCTGTTTATGTGAGTGATTCCTTAGGAAGCCATGATTTTGATCTTTTAAAGAAGCTAGTTTTTCCTCATGGTACAATTCCAAAGTGCCAATATTTTGCACTCCCCACTAGAGATTGCATCTTCAAGAATCCACTATTTGATGGCAAAACCATACTCAAGATTTGGAATTTCAACAAGGTATGCCAACAAACTATAAATTTCGTTATTATGGTCATTTATGTTAGAAATTTAATATGATAAATCTCGAATTGAACATGATACACAAAAATTAGACCCTATAACCGTTCCAAAGATGGCAGGAGTCAGTTGGACAGCTACCATAGTTCTCCATCATTATGCATTGTGTATAGATAGAAGAATAATGGATTGATATAGGACTAGATCTTCCTCCCTAAAACTATTTTAAAGATTACGGCATTAATTGAACAGCTACCACAGTTTTTATCACTATAGTTGTGTATAGATAGAAGAAAACAAAAGATGCGCCTTTTTATATGGGCTAGGTTGAGAATCTAAGCCCTCTCGTTGCGGATTTTATCAGGGTCAGGCTACACTTATCGCCTCACTAAACCACCAAGCATATATTGTGCACGACCTAATAACCATCACACGTATAATTGGGCTTTTGTTCATAGACTACCATCGAACTCTGAACAATTAAAATATAAATGTATTTTAGGTAATTTAAGCCTATTTTTTCCAACAATTTACGCTTTTCTTCTTCTTGGCAATAGTACGGAGGAGTCATTGGTGCATTCAATGCAGAAATTAGAGAAGAATTTTACACTGATTAAGGCACAGCTAAAACTCTCTAAGAGATAAGGATAGATACAAAGGAATATTCCCACACTTATCAGGATACATAATTCTATCAATAATACAAAGTAACCTTATCATAATATAACTACTATATCTACAGAATCTTTCTCAATCTTTCTCTATGCTTAGCCATTCTCTCTAACACTTCCCCTCAAGCTAGTGAGAGGTGGTTTCACCACTCCTAGCTTGCTGCGAAGAATTGTAAACTGATCCTTTGCCAGAGCTTTAGTATGAATATCTGCGAGTTTATCCCTTGATCGCACAAACTGAGTGAGAAGTTGTCCTTGTGCAACTTTCTCTCTCACAAAATGATAATCAAGTTCAACATGCTTAGTTCTAGCATGCATAACTGGATTTGTGGTCATATAAAATGCACTAAGGTTGTCAGAAAACAATATAGGAGCTGTTTTGAGACAAACCCCAATATCACGTTGCACAAAAGTTATCCAAGTAAGTTCAGCAGCTGTGGATGCTAAGGCTCTGTATTCAGCCTCTGCACTTGATCTTGCAACTGTATGTTGTTTCCTTGAGGACCAGGAAATGGAATTTGCTCCTAAGTAAATGTTATACCCAGTGGTTGACCTCCTTGTAGAAGGACATCCTGCCCAATCAGCATCAGAAAAACCATATATCCTCAAAGGAGACCGAGATAAAATGCGTAACCCATAATCTAAAGTACCCTTGACATATCATAAAATTCTCTTAAGAGATTGCAAATGAAATGTGTTGGGCTTTTTCATAAACTGGCTTACAAGATTTACAACATGTGTTATGTCGGGTCTAGTGAGTGTTAAGTACTGTAAACTTCCCACAATACTATACAATGATGGATCAACTAAATCACCAAAAGCTTCTTGCAATCCATGTTTTTGTGCTAATGGAGTCCCAACTGCCTTTGCTTGTGTCATATTCACTTTCTTGACTATATCAATAGCATACCTGCGGTGGCTCAAATGTATTTCTCCTCGAAAGTAAGACACATCAATGCCCGAAAAGAAGCTTAAAGGTCCAAGATCTTTCATGGCAAACTCAACATTAAGTTTCCCAATAATTTCTGAAATATGCTCATGATTGCTTTCTGTTACAATTATGTCATCCACATAGAGAAGAAGCAAAATTGTTCCCTGTTTACCATAAGTATAAACAGAGAAGGGTCTGCTCTACTACATCTAAAACCAAGATGAAGCAAGTAAAGACAAAACCTTTCAAACCAGGCCCTAGGGGCTTGCTTTAATCCATATAATGCCTTTTTCAATAAACAAACATGATCTGGATACTCAGAATTCATGAAACCTGGAGATTGTTCCATATATACTTTTTCATGTAGTAATCCATGTAAGAATGCATTTTTAATATCAAGTTGTCTTATAGGACAATGCAGACTCATAGCTAGTGATAAAACTATCCTTATTGTTGCAGACTTAACCACTGGACCAAACGTTTCTTCATAATCTATACCTTCAAGTTGTGACTAACCTTTAGCTACTAATCGTGCTTTATACCTTTCTACGGATCCATCAGATTTTCTTTTTATTTTAAACACCCATTTCGAGCCAACAACATTCATACCTGCTTTCCTGGGAACAAGACTCCATGTTTCATTTTTATCGAGTGCTTCCAACTCCTCTTGCATTGCTGTGTACCAGTGTGGGATAGTTAATACTTCATTCACTGATTTGGATTCACCATGTGCACCTCCTGTTTTTGCAATCACAGCATTGCAAACATAATCGCCAAGATAACTTCGGGTTTTTGTTTCTCTCTGACTTTTTCTTCGTTGCACCTCTTCGGGTTGTGTGTCTTCAGCCAATTGACTTGGTACAATAGCTTCAGTCAACTGAGTCGGTGTAACAACTTGTGTCTCACTTGGTGCAGCAGCCTCAATCGACTCATCTGGTGCAACGACAACTTTAGTGATTAATTGACTTGGTACAACAACTTCAGTCAACTGATTTGATGTAGCAGCTTCAGTCTCGCTTGGTGCAACAACCTTGGTCGACTCATCTGGTACAACGACCTAATTTGACTCACTTGGTGCAGCAATAACTTCAGCTGGCTCAATGATGTATTGTTCACCTCCTGTGAACACTTCCCCTGAAGTAATGGGCTCCGCATCTACATTCCTGCATTCAAAATTTGAAGAGCTCACATGGAGTTGTTAGAAGAATTCGAGGTATCATAATCTGACGATGTAGTGAAAAATTCATGAAATGTGGCCAAATGAATGGAACTTGCAACATCCTGATGCTTTTCTTGAGACTTCACATATGGTAAAGTTAGTTCATCAAATACCACATGTCTTGATATAAAAACTCTTCCGACTCACTAGATGAAAACATCTATAACCCTTATACAGATTGCTATAGCCAATGAATACACACGGATAAGTCTTCGGAGAAAACTTGTTCTTTCCTTTCAAGTAGGGATAACATCGACATCCAAACACCTTCAAGCTATTATAATCAGGATGAGTTCCATATAATTTGAAAATAGGAGATTCCATCTTGAGAACCGATGAAGGCATCCTATTTATAAGAAAGGTAGTAGTCAAGAATGCATCAACCCATAAGAAAAGAGGCAACTTAGCATGAAACAATAATGTTAAACCGGTCTCCACAATGTGTCTATGTTTTCTCTCTGCAACTTCATTTTGCTCAGGAGTATTCGGGCACGAAATATGCCTCACAATTCCACAATTTTCTAGATGATTAATAAACTCAACTTTGGAGAATTCACCCCCTCCATCACATTGAAAAACTTTAATCTTCTTTGAAAATTGAGTTTCAGCCATTCTTTGGAACTTAAGAAATACCGCAAACACTTCAGATTTCTTTTTCAAAGGATATAACTAGGTGTACCTAGTTTGATCATCAACAAAAATTACATAATATTTCATATGTTGCGATGATTCAATAGGTGCAGGTCCCCATACATCGCAATGAATTTTCAACAAAGGTTCATTTTCAATCTTATTTCTTTGCTCAAAAGCAAACTTACAACTTTTACCCATTTGACAACTAACACATATAGTAGGGGTTTTATTCAAACATGTGATATTGATACACTTATTGTTACTCAAGAAACGTAAAAGCTTCGAATTCAGATGCCCTAATCTTGCATGCTTAATACTAGATGTACTCCTCTGTGTCGCCGTCAAGGCCTTAAGGTTGTTGTTATCCAAAGCATACAATCCTCCTCTTTTAGACCCTATTGCCAATAGTTTCCTTGTTGCCTTGTCCTTTACAACAAAAAATGATTCAGAAAACTCAATCGTGCAAAAATTATCCTTTGCTAACTTACTAACTGAAAGTAAGTTACTTTTAAGTTCTGGAACTACAAGTACTTCTTGCATTTTTAAGCCAGAAACTTCTGCACTTCCAACATGTGTTATGTTAAGTTCTAAACCATTACCAACAACAATTTTATCAGAACCTTTATAAGGCTGAAGATTGGACAAGTTACCTGGAGAATTTATCATATGTGTACTAGCCCCAGAGTCGACATACATTGTGTTGTCCTCATTCTTTGTGTCCTGTAAGTTTACTACAACTAGAGCTTGAGGAAGATCATCAGACGCTTGATAAGAGAAATCCCATCGGTAGAAACATTTAAGAGAAGTATGATTGTTTCTACCACAAATTTGATAGGGCGATGAGATCTCCTTACCTTTTTGGGCATTCATACCTTGAGTAATCTGATTGTTTTGACCAACAGCAGGACGAAATCCTCTACCTCTAGAAGAGAAGCTGCCTCTTCGTTGATTAGATCCACCACGGCCTCGATAAAACCTTTGAGCTTGAAAAGCCATATTGTGATTTAGTTGAGTATCTTCGTCATCCTCTCTTATATCGAATCCTCTTAGTGCATTGATCAATTGATTTAAGGTGATATATGGAGGCTTTCCTAGCATAACTGTCCTAAATGTTCTATACTTGGGACCTAGCCCTCTAGCAAAGTTGATTACCTTACTATCTTCATCCACAGGCTTGTGTATAGCTGCCAAACCATCGCAAATGCCCTTGAATTCTTTGAGATAATCATTCGTGGATCTGCTGCCCAACCTAATGTTTTGGAGTTGTTGCTTAAGTTGAAACTCCTTATCTTTGGTTGCTTGAAGGTACGTCTCCTCCAGGCAGTCCCACATCTCTTTAGACATCCTACGATAAGGTACATGCTTTCCTCAGACATTGTACCAGCTATCCAGCTTCTTAATAACACATTCTTCTCCTCTAAATCATCACTATCCACGTTCTTCTTGGATGTACTGTCTGAACTTTCAGTTGTATCCTTTCCTGAAGTTTCACCTTTGATAAGATGAGAAAGCTTCATAGCTTGGATCAATTGAAGCATTTGAGTTCTCCATATGAGATAGTTTGTTGGTTTGAGCTTAATAGGACAAGATGAAATGAGATGATGGAGAGAAGCAGTAGATAGAGATGTTGCAGAGGCCATCGTTTTTTTTAAATAGAAGGGTTTAGGATTAGACTGTTGAATAAGTACTGCGCAGCAAGAAAGCTTAATGCTCTAATGCCATGTACAAATTAGAGAAGAAAGGGATAATCTTTTGTATTCAGTTCATGAATCAATCGTACAATGGTTGCCTTTTATACTGATTAAGGCACAACTAAGACTCTCTAAGAGATAAGGATAGATACAAAGGAATAGTCCTACACCTATCTTATCAGGATACATAATTCTATCAATAATATAAAGTAACCTTATCATAATATAACTACTATATTTACAGAATCTTTCTCAATCTTTCTCTATGCTTAGCCATTCTCTCCAACATTCAATTGCCAAGGAGCAGGGTGGGATCCAAAGGAGAGAAGAATCAGGGGATACTCGCAGTGCTATAAGTCAATGACAGGTTCAGTCTATGTGAATGACATTGAATGGGACCAACTAAAAGAATCATCTGAAATGGGCAAAGCAGAGGAATATGCTGTTTATCTTAACCAAGCTGAGAAATTATTCTTGACAAAGCCAGCCTCAGACACAATTCCAATGACCATAAAACCATCTTCTTTTGAAATATTTAGCTTTGTACCTTTAAAACAGCTCAGTTCCATTGCTAAATTTGCTCCAATTGGAGTTACCAACATGTTCAACAGTGGAGGAGCCATACTAGGACTTCAATACAGTAAATTTGCCGGTGATGGTGAAAATGCAAGTGCAAAAGCTCAAGTTAAAGGTGGTGGGAATTTCTTGGCTTACTCAACTGTATCACCTAGCAAGTGTTACTTGAATGGTGCTGAAATTGAGTTTGAATGGTCTTCTGAAGATGGAAAACTGACCCTCAATCTACTTTGGAATGAAGAGGCCAATGGAATTTCTAATGTAACTTTTCTTTTTTATGTTGCTCAAGTTTGAGAATTATTATAATTATAATAGTAATAGCCAAGTAATTGTAATGGGACAGGTGCGCAGATAGCCATTCTCGGGGATGCTATTTAGAGATTAGCCAATACTTAGTAATTTTAATTTCAGGACATGTCCTGAAAATTGAATTGAAAAACTAACATTCAGGACGTACTGACTAATTCCTAAATAACAATTTTTTAGAGTGGTTACCTGGTATCATTTCTATAATTGTAATGCTATCTTATTAATGATATTAAAGTATGTATTATGTGAATTACACCCCAAAAAAAATGCCAAAAGTGACTATTGGGATTTTGGAATTAGAAGTTTTCACAATTTTTTCTTCCTTTTCACTCTCTTCGGGTTATTTTTCTCCTTTTGTTACATAATCCTTTTTCAATTTCTTTTAAGTTGTATTGTGATACGCAAGCGGCAAGCATGTAAACTGTCAACTGTGATTATTTACAGGGTGATTTACTCTAATAATCCTAGGTAAGGAGAGTGTCCTTATATTGGGGTATGATTGTAAAACTTATCACAGGCCGATTTATGTTTTAAACTTAGTTAATATAGGAGTAAACATTAAATAAATGGCAAACTATTTTTTTGAGATGATTTAACGTTCATTTGCCTTTTCTTTTCCATGTATGCCAACATGTTAAATGGGACTAAATGACAAAGAATAAATGTATTGCTCATTTATTAGTTTAGTATAAACAGGAAAGGTGAATTTTTTCGGCTTTGAGAATACTAAGTAATCTAAATTACATTCCACCATAAGAGTGAATAAAAATAGAACGCTGTGATCTTTATATGCGTCCAATAAGCACCTGAAAAGTTGTTTGCTCTACAGACCACAGGGATCATACTAGAAAATTCGGTCCAACTAGTATTTGCCAATGAGCTATAATAATGCCGAATCAAAGTAAAATTATCATGCTACTGAGGGTGTAGTGGGATAAGATTATTTCATTCTTAAGCTGAAATTTGGAGTCAAATCCTGAGAATGAAAAATTGCTAACAAAAAGTGCTTTCCAATGTTATGCGACGCGAATTCAAATTAGTCAAATAAAAATAACCAAAAAGTAACATTGTTACGAAATAAGCAAGTTTAGACCCATGTTGGGTATGGATTCCATTAATACCAGCCGACAGCTAAGGCGTCGCTATGGAGTATTACAGAGGAAAAAACACGATAGAAGGATGTCTAATGTTCCCGAATGTACCATCTCCATCCATTGTTGCCTACCTATTCAACAACATTAGTAAATCAAAAGCTATCATCAAGGGTTCGGCTGGACAAAAAAGAATTCATCCATCCTTAATCAGAGGTCTCAAATTTAAATAATGGATATGAAATTCTTTTAGTAGAATCACGTCCTATTCTTTAGTGGGCTCGCGAATTCAAATTAGTCAACCTCTCAAAGCGGGTACAAGACACCTAGTAGGATATAAAAAAAAATCAAAAACTTAAATATTATGCTTTTCTTAGAGATTAATTTTCCGTTACCTTTTCATCATTTGCTTTTGGTAAAGTGAGTGTGTATAGCTTCTTTGATCCTTGAATCCTACATGAACTGTCAATCTCAATTATATTTATTAAAAAAAAAAAAACGTTTGATAACCTTTGAGAATGTTCAAGTAGGCTTGTTTTTGTCAACTAATGTAACTTCCCAAGGAAGAGTTTGTGACGACAAAAACAGAAGTTAATTCCAACTACTTTAATTTAAAATGTTACACTTTAGAATAATATTTTAATAATGCACTCACCTTGCCGACAATATCAGTACTTTGTGTCACATTCTTAGTCTTGAACTAAGCGCACGTGCGGTACTTGGCAACTCGCTCACAGTTTGCTCATGTTTTTGTTATGCCAAGTCAATCTTACTACACTCAAGATTACCAAGGAATGTTAGAACACAGAAAAATTGCCAAATGAAACTTTGTATTATAGAGAACTTGAATTGTTTTGCTTGATGAATTACAAATGAATAACCCCCTTTATCTACTAGTCTCCTAGGGGCTAGTATATAAATATTTATTGTTGCATAAGTCCCCTATTATTTACAAGTAAGTCCATTCTCTAGAATTCTCTACATAATTAGAATCTTCCAGGGACTTTCCTAGAAAATCCATAGATTTCTAGAGTCTTCCTAGGAAAACCTCTATATTCCTCTAGAACCTTCTCACAAGTGCTACTCTATTTCATATGTAAGCTTTCACATGACATTAATATATGCCAAATGACACCTATGTGGTATATGATGTGGCGGGTCATGACATTTGTCTCTATTTATTCTTGTGGGTTCACAGATAGAATAAAATAAAATGAAAAACCAAAAGAGCTAGAATAAATTGACTAAATTTAAATGCTACACTTTAGACGAAAGGTAGCAAGAAGGGGTTTTGTTTGGTCTCCAACTTCAACATCGTCAATCAAAAAAAGGAAATGAGGAATAGAGATCTTCACTATATATAGTTTGAAAAATAGATATAGCTCGAAGAAGAAAAAGAACTAAAAGGACTATAGGAGTACGAATAGTAAATAATGTAAGCTGGTCTTGAATACATAAATAAATATGAATTTCACTCTTTGACAATGAACATGATAAAAGAACAATCTGTTAGTACTATTATCATTTCTTTTTTGACAAGTTCAAGTTTTACTACCTCATCATCAACAAAAATATATTAGAACAGATCGATTAACTCGTACCCTTTGCTTAACTCTAGCTTACTTCTGGTGACGTAACGCAATCTAAGTGAAATGGGAAAATAATATAATCTAGTGAAGTTTGAGAAGCCGTTGTTAAATCATCGAAAGCTAGAGACTTGGATAGACGTATGTCGGGACGTTCTTATCATTATCCAAAACCTGCCGACCAATTTCTAACGAAGACAAACTTCCTTAAGCACGAAAAGTTTTGTCCTTTGCATGACCAACTGTCTCGCAGTCCGCAGCTTATTAACTGACTAAACCGCTCCTTTTGAACATCCTTTCCAAACGGTGAGGTAAAACAGGTCACTCTCACCACTGATTTATCCCAACTCCCATGTAATTACACGAGTCTTCCATTATACTAACAAACAACAAAAATGTCAAAGTCCAAAAAGGAATAGTGATGTTTATGTTTAACCAAAAAGCGTTAAATTCTTTTTGTTAAACTAATTAAATAAATGATAATGAATAAATTCTAGATCCAATACTGATGGATGTCAGTAATATGAAAACCGTATTCAAGGCTATTTAATACTAAGGAGGTGTTTAATAATATTGTTGTAAATAAACGAGGGAATAATGACAAGCAATAAATATGATAAATGACAATGAATGTAAATAGGGAGAATGATTCACCCAAATGTTCAATGAGGTGGATGATTCTCTCTCTCATAATGATGTAAGGCAATCAAACGTGGGAATATAGGAAACTTTCTCGGATCTGATGTGAGAAAGTTTGGGACCAACAACAAATCGAATCTTTTATAAAGACAATGTTTGTAATTACTTGGGAGTCAACGTTTCTAGAGAGAGCTTGTCATATAGAATATTACATACCTCCCTCTTCTCTCTCTATTCCTACTTATATGGGACATTTTTCCCCACCTAACTAAATGTATAAATACAAAGAATATTCTCTGGAATATTTCTTTAAAATATCATATCACTAAACTAGCCGTTTGGGCCAATCTGAGTGCTCGACCTCTTCTTTAACTGCTCAGCTCACCAATACGTTATTCCTTAAACATTTGACCTCGGCCTAGTCAGTCTTTAGCTATCTCTTAAACAAGATTACTCCAATCGGATTTTGGCCCATACAGTTAGTCC